ATAACTGTGGGAACATTGCTTATGTGTAGTGGTGCATACATGACAGTGGGCACACAATCTACATTTATGGGGCGTCCAGCCTGAGCTGGGAAAGCATTTGGCACTGCTTTGACAGTTTTGATATGTGGGAATGCGCACTTTAGTGTGGACACGTGACCCCTTAATGACACAGGCAGAAAATGGCTCTTTATGTGATTTCTGTGTGTCGCCGTAAAAACGGCGTTTGTTTGCAGGTGAGCGAGCTGTGCGGCTGGCCCATTGGCTGCTGTACAGACATTTCCAGCCGCCTGTAAGGGGACTGGGTTATGCTTTAAACGTTTTGGAGAGAGCGGTCCGGCTTTTGCGAGACACGCGCTCTCTCTCTTTCTTCCTGTAGCTAGGAAGACTTACGAGGCTCTGGGTTCAGCACAATCTTGGGCCGAGGTCCCCGTCGCTCGAGCGGTTGCTTCCTGTTGGCAGAGCGCGAGCGGCGTCGGAAGTCAGTTTCAGGTCTGGGCTGAGAGACGGGAGGTGCCGTCTTGACTCGCTGCTGCTGAGGCGGCTTTTGGCGGCGCTGCGATGAGCTAGATCGCTTGGGCAGGAAGTGACGCATAGCCTGCGAATCCTTACGGGCTTCGGTGAAGCGCTCAGCGAACTCCTTCACCGCTGGTCCGAACAGGCCGCTTTGGGAGATAGGCGCGTCGAGGAACGACGCCTTATCTGCATCCTTCATCTCTGTTAGCGTCAGCCACAGATGGCGCTCAAGGACAGTCAGGTTAGCCATGGCACGGCCGATGGATTGGGCGGTGGCTTTTGTGGCTCGCAGTGCTATGTCGGTGGCGCTGCGCAGATCCTTGAATGCCTCAGGATCAGGTCCAGACTCGTCCATGGTGCGGAGAAGTTTGGCTTGAAACACTTGGAGGACAGCCATAGAGTGAAGGGCTGACGCAGCTTGGCCGGCGGCGGCGTATGCGCGACCGGCGAGAGCTGAAGTAGATCGGCAAGGCTTCGAGGGATGAGAAGCTTTGGCTTTCCATCCAGCGGTGGAGGGTGGGCACAGGTGATTGGCCACAGCCTCCTCGAGGGGCGGAGTCCCCTCGTAGCCTCTTTCTTTCGCGCCGTCCACAGAGGAGAGCGATGAAGAGAAAGAAGGCTTCAGGCGAGCGGAGTGCGGGGCTTTCCACGACTTCGTGAGTTCGTCGTGAACTTCCGGGAAGAAAGGGGAGGGCCTTTGCCGAGGAGCCTGCTGGCGCCCCTGCAGGAGCCACTCGTCCATTCGGCTGCGGGCGGGTTCTTCCGGGAAGACCAATCGAGCCCGAGGTCTTCCACGGCCTTAGACAGGATGCGGACGATCTCCGAGTCCATGCTGGAGCCCACGCTCGTGCCCGCTAACGTCGATGGCGCGGGGTCGAAGGAAGAGCCTGGCCAGTCATCGGATGCAGCATCAAAGGAAAGGCTGTCATCCTTTTCGTCGTCATCCCCTGACGCGCCAAACGAGACGAGACCCATCGCTCTGCTGGAGGGGTGCTGGTCCGCCTGTGTGAACTGGACTGGCGGCGGGGAGTCTTCGGGTGGTGGTGAAGCACGCGGGGATTGGCCCGGCGTGACGTCACTGCAAACCGCGTGCTCTGGCGGCCTCTGTGAGTGCCGCTTCTTCTTGCGCGGCTCGACCAGAGGGGATGGAAGCACGGTGGTGGTGGGCTCTTTCGCAGCAAAAGCGGCGAAGCGAGCGCGCAGCTCGGTGAGGCCCAGGGCGTCACACTCGGGCCATCCGCCTCGAGTAAGGGCAGCCTCTGCGTGGTCCGGTCCCAGGCAGCAGGCGCAGATGATGTGACGATCCCCGTCCTGAAGAGGGCCTCGACACGAGGCGCAGGAAGGCATTTGAAACAACGCCCAGTTAATTTGCTCTTTTAGAAAAGTGTCGCGGGGGCGAACACTGGTAGCTTTGAAAGGATACAGATGATGCGCGCCGGATGGCTTAGCAGAAGGCGATCGAAGGCGGCTGAAGGCGCCGGCGTCCTCGTAGCAGTCCTGCTGTAGGCTTGTCGACGGCGGCGGCGAAAAGACTCCAATAATCCGGAGGATCCAGCGAAGAGAAGGTCTTTGCTGAAGGAGATTGAATCTAAAGAACTCAGACGACAGGGCGCCCAATATATAGCCCTTGGCCACGCCCATCTTGGCGGGCTCTGACGCGCGCGGGCGCGAAGCACTCTCATTGGAAGCGGGTTCAGAGTCGCCCCGTCATAGGTTCGTGCAGTTGCCGCAGCACAGCCAATGACCGAGCTGCCTCGCTCATTGCTGTATGCTGTGCAGCTGCAATGCGTTTTACATAAAGACTTCAATATTTCTCGAGAAAAGGAGTTTTCCCATAGCGTAAGCTACTTACGCAATAGGAAGAACCTCTCGAAAGGGAACTTGGAAATGGGAACCGTGAGAGGGAGTGAGAATGTCATGGCTGAGGTGAAGGGTGGCTGGGGGTCCATACCCGGCATTATCGACAAATGAGAGTTTCAGAGCTGTGGGACGTTTGTGGGAGACAAAGTCATTTTGTGTTGGTCTATGTATGTGCGCATATCTGTGGGTTTGATATTTAATTGAATGTGTTTGAATGGATATGAATGAGTGCATGTGTGTGTGAACTATGTTGAATATGTGTGTGGACAGGACTCCATGGGTGAGCGTAGGGTAAAGTGATGAGGGAGCTCTCTATGGCCTCACTGTCAGAGAAACAATAAGCTGTCAGAGGAACAATACTCGGAAACTCTCCAGTGAGAGGAAGAGACTTGAAGCAGGAAGTTGGATAAGGATGAATCTCTCTCTCTCTCTCTATGTCTTATTCTCCATGACCGTACATACTACCAGTTTAAAATAACTGTTTTTTATTTTAATATATAATTTATTTTGTAATGACAAAGCTGAGTTTGCCATTAAGCCATTACTTTTGAATGGTAGTGCATCACGGATTCCACAAAAATATTAAGCAGCTGTTTTCAACCAATTTATGCTGTAATATAATATAAATGTGTGTAAACAAAACTTTCTAAAAAGTTTACACTATTATTTATAGATTTTTTTTTATACTAGTAAAAAAATATATAGGTTAAAGTGATGAGAGAACTCTCTATGGCCTCACTGGCAGCGGAACATATTTATTATGTCGAATTATGTAGCCTACATTTCATTGTTATTACGTATTTATTTAGAATGATATTTTAGCCTACTTATATTTGTATCACTTTTTTTCTATGAACTTTTCAACAGACTGTATTGTTCTGACAAATCTGACTTTTTTTTTATGACAAATCTGCTATATTTAGTTTAACACATTTACCTTTGTAAAAAAGAAGCCATAACACGAGCTGTCAAACACTCGCTCACATATCCCCATTCCCTCACCATCTCCCTCTCTCAGCATCCATCATTTATAACTCCACCTTACTGCCCAAATCTGTGCCCTCCCTCCAGCGAGTATGTTAATGCTGAGTCTCATTTTGTATAATACAATGACACTGTTTCCCTGAATTGAAACACACCGTTCTGGTCGGTGCTGGTCAGACAAAGTCACCAGCGGTCAACTCCAGTGTGCGACTATTGAAAAAGTGCTGACAGAGTGAGCTTTTCCCGCTCTGAAACCCCCACCACCACATATCATGACCACGACCACATACACAGATCCATCCTCTTAACAAATTCTGCTGGTCAGTGTAGCCTATATGTGGCCAGACAAATCTAGGGGCTTTCTTGAGGCAAACATTAATTGCTGTTTTTCCTTTTCAAATGTCCAGAACTCTTTTTTGAATGTGAGCCAATTCATTCAAGGAAGCTGAATCATCTTTAGAGGTGAAAACTGTTCACCTCTAAAGATGATTCAGCTTCCTTGAATGGATTGGCTCACATTCAAATAAGAGTTCTGGACATTTTAAAGTAACCTGTTTTTGCTAAAGTAAAAGAGGTTTTCGCAATCATGGAATACTTGTCTGAGGAAAATGTATCTAGTAGGCTAGGCTACACGTTTCATTTAAATATATAAAAAAAAAAAAAAAAAAAGTAATAATAAAAAAATACCGGAAAGAATGGCGATCCGTTCTGAGCTATTCCGCGGCATCGCCACACTAGCCTATCTACAACACCGCAGAACAAAGAGCGACCAGTTTAGTCCGATTCTCGAATGAATGACTCATGAGCCGGTTCTTTGAACCAAATCCATACAGCGCGACCAGTGGGTGCCTGGAATCCCATTCCCAGGTCTTCTTTTTAGTGAACCAAAACATAAAGCGGTAGGCTATATGTGTAGAGTGATTCCTGAACAAATGATTTAAATGCCTTAATCTTAAGACTCTAATATGTCTTAATATAGTAGCCTAAGCTAAGTCATTTTTTAGTGAATCAAACACAGGCTATCGTTACAATTTACTGAGCTATGTCGCATGGCTCCAGGCCTATCTAAATCAGTCTGGACTGGTTGTCCAAAAGTTGTAGCCTACTTAAAGATTGTACTTAAAACAAGTAGCAGCCTACTTAAAGTTGTAGGCTACTTAAAGTTATGTAATTAGTCAGAAGTAGGCCTATATTTTAAAACCAAAAAAAAAAAAAAAAATATCAGCACATATCATTTGTTTAATAGGATACTGTTAGGCTAATATATAGCAGTTTGGTATGTTTATCAGATTTATGCTGCTTCTAAACACTAAGTCTACATAGCAATTACTTTTGAAAGCATAACTATTGCAACGTGAAATGCAACTTTCAGACTGCTGCATGAGTACAATTTTATTATTTCTATGCTAAAGACTTCATGCAGACTAAAAGCCAAACACAATTTAAGTTTAATGCAGATCAGTTTACTGACCATTTAACCTTTGATTCTTCTTCTCATCATCCCAAAACTCTTAAAGACCCCAAACAACAGAGCCCAACTCGGATAAAGTCCATTTGCATGCTGTTGCGAATAAAGGCACCCTAAGCAAGAACTAGAGCAATGATACCATCACAACAGCCTTCAACACACATAAGTGACTGACCCAGTATCGAGGGCTGCTCTCCGGTGACCGTGGCTGGTACCTCTGCAGGGACACCCCTCCCTCTCCATCTAGGTCCAGGCAGTGTGGGATGGGTGGCCAGGGGAGCAGCGATGCTAGCGGGTAGTGCGAGATCATGATGCCCGTCCAGGTTCCCCACACATACTAAGGGCTGTAGAGAACTGGTGCTCCTGTGATGAAGGTCTATGTGTGTTTTCGTGTCTGTCTGTCTCTGGAGGGCATTCCCACTTGCGGTCTTTCAGAGGGTGCCCTTCTGTCCTTTTGTGTAAAGTGAAAACAGTCTGACAGATCTGTCTTTAGAAGTCCACAATTGCTGTTTGCCAACACGTACAAACACTCTCTCTCTCTCTCTCTCTCTCTCTCTCTCTCTCTCTCTCTCTCTCTCTCTCTCTCTCTCTCTCTCTCTCTCTCTCTCTCTCTCTCTCTCTCTCTCTCTCTCTCTCTCTCTCTCTCTCTCAACCTCAGCCTAATTCGAGAAGAGGTTGGCAGCTTCTCCGCTGTAGCCACATGAGTGATTAAAGTCTATTGTTTTTTCTCTCTCTCACTTCAAAGTAGGGGAGGGCTGAGCGATAAGCCCTGCCCCTGCACTAATACCAAGATTGTGCAGAAAGAGGGAGAGATAGACAGGAAAAGAGAGAAAAGGGGTCTTGTGTTGAAGGAGGAAAACTGAGTGGAGGTTTAAACAAAATAGTGTTATTTTAGCAAATTTATACAATATAGTTTCGTGTTAATTCTTTTAAACTATAACCACAAAAAGTTATATCTATATCAGGCAAGTTTTTTTTATTTTATAAGCTTTTTTAACAAATAAATATGCTCTTCCCAGAGCAGCAGGGAGTCTAAATGCCTGTTAACAACGAACAATGATAAGCATAACTATAAAGCTTTAATTATCAATCTATTGAGAATATAGGAAAGTTCACATTGCAGCTTTAACGATAACGATACACAGAGGAACAATATCATTGGAATCACTTTCACAAGAATTTTCTCCAGCTGATGAACAATAAAAACATTAACAGCCAAGTGACTTTGAAGAGCTTGTGTATTTAAAGTGGCAGACGACAAAACGGCAGCAAACACAACAATATCGTGCGTTGGTGTGGACACTAATATAATAATCGTTATAGTTCTTGGTGTGAACTGAAAGAGGACCTGATGGAGTCATCTGTTGTCTTCTCAGTTAGGCAGTAGCTGTTAGTAAAGAAACTTTCCTGTTAACCAATAATTCAGCAGTGTGGCCTTTGTTACCAGGACCAAAGGCAAGGTTTCACCTGAAGAGTGTAATAGCAAGCATGTGACTAAATATTTTAGACTGGGGTGGGGAAAAAAAACGTAGTTAGAAAAATGTATATTGATTGATATATATTGGAACTGGATTTGGTAAAGTATTGAAGCAGAGGACGACAGCGATAGCTGAGGGTATCGTTTGGGACAGGGCCAGTTATGGTTATAGCCCTGACTGGTCAGCCATAAGTGAGTTAGTAGCTAACCAATACACACTCATGTACGTTAAGGCATACAGTACTTGGGACAGTTAATAAGACACAGAGTTTAAAAGCTGTAACTTCCGACTGTTGCAAAAATGCCTGCAGCAGATATGTGAATGAATCAGTAACATAAAATAACAAAACAGCAAGATCCGGAGGATGTTAAACACTAAGTTTAGAACTTTTCACAGAATACAGACGTGTACACACGCAGTGAGCTCACTTTATGTAATGTTCTGGGTAAAGTATAACTTTAAATCTGTGGAAAGCTTCCATGATATGCTGTCATTAATGCAGGCAATAATTTTGACTAGTGCCTTAGGTTGCAATAAAAGACATTATGTTTAATGTAATTCATTTACAATGGAAGACATTTCAGAGGGTTTAAAAGCAGAAATGTCCCGCTTTTTGATATGATGGCACTCAAAATTAAATTTTCAGTACAATGGGTTACAGTGGTCGGACTACTGCTCTAGGTGGATAAACTAAATGAAATAAAATTCTGGCCTATACTGATAAAATTATAAAATACAGATAAAATACCTATTTATTTTTTGGTTGACAATTAGTTAAAATTCTATACAATTTTGTCAAAATAAAATAAATACTAAATAAAAACTATATATAATAATTTACAGTATGAAAAATTGATATTTATTTTAAGATTTGTCAAAGATTACATTTGCTGTGTGGTTAAATTATTAATGTTTTTAAAGATTAACTTTAAAGTTTTTTTAAAAATAAGATAAATTAGCATGCACAATTAATGATATAGCCTAAAACAATCTCTAAAATTGTCCATTAACTGATACAGTGATATATTGTGCATCCCGAGGTTTTATTACATTAGTCTCGTCAACACGTATAATTCTTGTCGCTGTACTTTTTAGTTTATTCCAGTGCAATGCCTTCTGCTTTCATAAAGAAAACTTTTGTTTGTTTTTAAAGAATGAGAGACGAGTCCATAATATTAAATGAGGTAATACAAGGCTTAACTTCTATATAACCCTTAACATTTGTATGTGCTTCAAGCTTTATATATGCTCTCTCTCTCTCACCCATGCTCACATTCAAAAGCAAAGATTAGAGAATAAATCAACCAATTAAACCAGAATGCCATTGATTTTCTCTTTCATATCCTCAGGCTCCTCATCTATTGTTCAATATTTAAGAGTATTTTATTGTGGACCACAGAATGAGGGACCTGAATCCCCTCGCTTTCAACCTTGTGGATTCCTCTCTCACTCTCTCCCCCTCTGTTCCTCCTCCCTCCTTGTTTGTTTCCTTTCTCTGTTGTTCAATCCAACACTTCTGTCCCCATGGCAGAGCTCAACACCCATCTGAAGTGTTTTGAAATTTCTCAGCTTCCAGAGTCTCTCCGTTGGTACATTTTGATCTATACAGTTTGCTGACATAGCCATAGTGCGGTCTGCAGAAGTTTACACAGCTGGCACAATTTTTTGGCTTTTACATTACACTCAAACACACACTTAAACAAGTTATATCGCCCAAGTTATATTCTTTATTTCATACTACAGCTTGGCAACACAAGACACGCAAAGGCTATGTTAAGAACTAAGCATTGTTCACATAAACGAAGGAAAATCACGCTTACTGCTCATAAAACATCCATGAACACTCAGAAGTGTTTTTTCAGTATAGCTGTTTTTATCAGCAAAAAGTGCTTATGAGGGCATCCATGCGGGACATAATGGACATATAACACTCTTGTAAATCACAGGATTTAGCTCTCTGAGGGTAAAGTTCACTAGGACTAGTAAGGAGCTATATAACTGTCAAAAAAATTCCACGTAAATGTATATAAAATACCCTAAAAGAGAGTTCAAATGTGAAATAATATGGCTTAAAATAAAATATTTGTTTCTACCAAAATATTTTATGCAAAAATAATTACTTCCAAGACCAGCAAGACATGCTACAAAAACGAACGGTGTACTCAAACAACTGCTGTCCTCTACCACCATCATGTGGACAATAGAGGAATTGCATGTATGACAACAAATTGTCCACAACAAGTATTCACCATTGTGCCTATTTACCCCAGCAGAAAAGTGACCCTTAAGGTCATGGATAACTAACGCCTAAATAGCCTAAGTGTATGCGTTATTATAGTGTTTGAAAGGGGTGAAAGGAAAAAAAACATGAATATAAACTGAGTGTTGTTTGTGTAGTTGTGCGTGAATGTTGTGTAGTGCGATTCCTAACCGAACAATAAAAGCAGATTCGGAGTATTTCTAGTACTTTCTAGTACTACTATTTCTAGTATTAGTACATCAGTGTTTTTCACATTATCCCACGTTCATTCCACGGAGAGAGTGCGTCTGTCGCCTCCGGGTTTCCTGTTGACATCATATGACCAGCCGAATAGCTTGCTATTCTCGAATAAGCTAGGCTAGGCCTACTACTCGTTTAACCCTCCGTGAACACTTTCATTAACCCTCTACTGCACGCATTATTATGCAATAATGGAAAAAAAAATTACAGTGTTTTTTTATATATAAAATAGACTCAAATTACTTTTGGGTACGTTGCGATATGGCAACATTGTGCGACAATGGAACAGCCTGATGCGTTTTCTCCCAAAATGACATGAAATTCATAGATGATTACAGACCTGTGTTTTAGAAATGAAATTGTTTTTATTATTTAAAATGTTTTCAAGAGCTTTGTGTACAAAATATGAAACTAATTTTCAAAGTATTATTTCAACAATATTTACAAAACATCTGACGCAAACTCATAAGAACTGTTCAAGTGAAACTACTCAATGTGAAACGATTATTTCAACAACATTTACAAAACATCTGACGCAAACTCATAAGAACTGTTCAAGTGAAACTAGCTGCTACTCGATGTGAAACGCCTTAAAGCAGTTGTTCTCTCCGTTAAAGGTGGGGTATGTGATTTTCTTTTTTGACCATTTTTTCAAAATCACTTGAAATCCTATTCCTAACCCACTTACAGCCACTGAGTTAGAAGCACTGACATGAAAATCAAAAAATTGAATCATCTGTGGAACGGGCAGGACTCAAAAAACTCCAGCCAATCATTTCCAAGACCACCTAGAATCATTGGACAGTAAGTGCGTCAATCAAACGGTCGTACCATACCCCCCTCCCCCATGCCCCTCTTCGAATGGGTGGAGTGGGTGGAGTCAGGGCCAGCGTTGGAGGAAAGAAGGTAGGACCTTTTGAGTTGTGTATTTTCAAAATCTGCCGGCCGTTTTGCAAATCAAATACCCCACCTTTAAGGCAGAGGTGCACCTTGCACTTAGAGCAAACCCCTCTGACGATGCCCTTGCAGCCAGGATTCTTGCACCTTCCTTTTGGTGCACCCATCTCTGGCCAGTGATCAAAGCGGTCAAGACGGATATATATTTTACTTTTATACTTTACTTTTACTTTACTTTATAAATATGTACAAATATATATAAATATATGAGTAGAATACAACCATCCAACTATATCAGTGCATCCATACATTGCCATTCATACAAAGCTACTCTGCATTAGCATGGGCAAAATATTGTTCCATTTGGCAACATACCTATTTTATTAAATAAAAAGGTAATATAAGTATCAAAACAATGTGACAATGATTGAAAAAAGATTAGAACTAACCCCAGATGCTTGATGTATTTTTTTATTCCGAAGAAATATGAAAAAAATGAGGACAATCTTCACATATACACAAGCACTTTTTCAGCAGCTGGAGTCATCAAAAGTGTGTGAAAAGAATGACGTTGCAAGGGTGTGTGTAGTGTCGTGATGTCATCAAAGCATATCATTGGTTACCACCAGGTTCTATTATGAATTTAAGATCAATCAGAGCTCATGTTTATTTTCAAATTTCAAGAAATGTCCAAAGAAAGGGTATGTTGCCATATGGCAACACTGTGCAGTAGAGGTTAATGAAATCACTCAATCATGGATGACTGCGAATAGCACCTTCCTACACATTGCTTCGGTAACTGAAAATGTTTGTTACTTTACAGGTACTCATTATCATTTTTTAAGTTGACTGTGAGAGG